ACAGTTTATTTTCTTCAGTGGATGGCTTCCCTCCTCTTTCATGTTTTTACACTATTAAAGAATTAGCTTCCTGTCATTTTACAGTTCAGCCTGTTACTAATTGGTACTGAGATGTATGGGTTATTCACGTCCCACTAGGTGGCACGCTGTCTTCCTTCCTTCCCGTCATTAACATGACTGAGAATTGTCGAAACTAATAACATGGTGTTGCTTTGGTAATACTGCTGCACAAATTACACCTTCCTTGAAAATGGCATAATATCTTACATAAATTCAAAAGGCAAGGAGTGTGGAGCTGCCTCTTCCAGCACTCACTGGCTTTTTAATTTGATGCTTCATCTACAATTAGACTTGCACTGCATGGCCATTGGCTTATTTTTATTTAGTGGAATCAAACATTCACTTTGGACTGCAAGTCATTTAAAAAAGGAGCCTCAGACTTGTAGCAGGACGTCACCCCTGGCTCTTATTAACTATTAATAAGTTGGCCGGTGTTCCGTTGAAAAATGAATTCAGCTGTCATGGCTTGGACAACATCAGTGGATACTAGGACACAGTCACCAGACGGCAGGTCAGCAAACGCTTCACTGGTGAGAGAATGAAGTCTGCATGTGAGAAAAGTCTATTTGAATTAGAGAAACAAAGACAAATAATCTGTTAGGGGACATCTCGCCATGTTTGCATAGACGATGCTTTGCTCATTTTTGTTCCATTTCAATTTAATTTCGGAAAAATGCTATGTCCCTTTTAATTTTCTGATAGTCCACCGCCTCTGTTGGCCACTCTGCCGGATAGATATCTGACCAAGAAGTTAATTTAAATGACTTTTTGAGGCTAGTGATTGATCCGGTGCATACTAAATACGTTCTCCCAGCCCAAGATAAAGTGGCACTGCAGAAAGAATAAGGAAATGTCATGGGCTCTCCTAAATCACAGCACTATTGTAACTATCTATTATCCCCTTTTCCATCTAATTATCTGAGCATGCTTTGCTCTGTCTGCTACCTTCCACCACCCCGTACACATTACTCACAAACACACATCCCGTCAGCTTTTAGTTAGATTTTCACGCGCCTGTTTTCCACGGTTAAGAAGCTTTCAAAAGCTGCGTCTAATGTGGAGAATATATAGAAACCAAAAAGTGTTTTGTTTGTTGTTTTTCTGAGGGATTGTCAAGGATCATGAAGGCTGAGACGCTCTCTTTTCCTTTTGTTTATGCAGCAAGATCACAGACTGGGTCATATTAGAGATGTTTACCCGTCCTGTCAAAGGGATAAGTTGTAAATTTGAGCTCGCAGGAAATGAAAGATGTAGTGGCACGGCGAGCAGCGACACCAAAGTAATGTCACCTTGACGAAGCGTTGCTCTTGTCTGGGATGGCAGGTGATATCAGAGGATAAACTCCAGTCTGACCTTGGGTTCACTCATCACAACAAAGACAAAGGGAGGAGCAGATGATGGAACACAGCCATCCAGCAAAACATTATGACCAGTGACAGGCGAGAGGAGCCGTGTCTTCATCCAGGAGCGTGGAGCGGCTGCCAAGGTTCGCCACCAAATCTATACTTTCTCTTGTCGTCAAAAACACATGTACATCTGTGTTTTTGATGACACATCGTTTTTCTTGCAGTATTCAGTATTAAATTAAACAAATCGATTTTGTATTCACTATACAGCATTATGGATTTGTAGCAGCTAAATATTAGAAAAAGGCACATTTATTGTTTTTGTCCATTATGAAAATGTAGATCTTAGGGCACGGGTTTTTCAAAAATCTTTTACTTTTCAATAGGATTTTTTTTTAAAAATATTAAATAAAGCTTCAATTCAGGTTATATATATTGTCTTTTAGTACAAGTATATATAGTTGGCTGTTTATCTATTTCATCATGTGTAGTTGTATGTAATGTGTTTGTAATACAATTGTCTTTTAAACTTCACTGTTTAAAAGTCAATTTTAAATAGTGAAGGCTGAGTGGATAGCACTCACACTTTCTCAGCAAGAAGGTCATGGGTTCGAATCCCGGTCGGAACGGCAAGGTCTCTGCATAGGTTTCCTCCGGGTGCTCCAGTTTCCACTACAAGTAAAAACATGTGGCTGTCAGGTGCCTCCTGAATGGTGACCCTGCAAACCTCTGTGCGGAGTGAGGGACAAATGTCCTTTGTGACTCTGGTCTGTGAAAGGTGCTATATAAATAAAGATTACTGACTTGAGCTACTTTGTTACTGACACATCCTGCTCTAAAACCTCAATTGGCTTTGGTCCAAGTGTTATTTTCAAATGGCAGCTTTGTCACTGGTTTCATAGTATAATGTTATTTTTGTGAACCTAAAATTACTCCCAACACTATCACAATGTTATTCCATGAGTAGTTGTGCATGTTTTAACGTCTAAAAAGCCAGAATAAGGACAATATTTGACCTTGTAAGAGGAAAGACCAGTATCGGCAGCTGGGTCAGAGCAGGGTCAAAGAAAAATAGAGATACTTCAACACGGCTCAGAATGGAAGGTCACGTAATTCATGAAACTAATGGTTTGTTGATTAAGTGTGAGGAAGCCTTCACTTCAGGAAGGTTGCGTTTGTTGAACTATAGAGTCGAAGAAGAAAAGGCAGCTTAAGTGTGATTTGTTTTAGACGTCTTTCATGTGCAAAAGCGTCATGCCTATTTCCACATGTATCATTACCTGACCACTGAAAATGTCTCACCAACTGGATGACTAAACCTTCAGAAACTAATCAGAAGAAATTATTTGGGTGAAAAAAAAGATTTATGTCTCCCTTTTTCTCTGCGGATCTGAGTCAGAGCCTCTTCAGAACAGTATTTTCTGCAGCTGCTCCCAGTTGAGAGTGGGCAGCATTAAGTGATCCCAGGAAAGTACTGCGGTGAACCAGTGCTCGCCGCCAATATGGTCGTGTGCAGTAAACTAAAGAGGCCAGAAGACACAGAGTTATAATTTGTTCAATTTACAAACTGGGTAAACTAAACTAAAGATGCCAGAAGATGCACACAGTTATAATTTGTTCAATATACAACGACAGCGCCGATAACATCACTTAGATAACTGCCCTGACTGTTCTGTCTGATGTGTTATTAAAAATGCAAAATAACAAGCAAACGCATCTTGATTAATATGCAGTTCCAGTGAAGGTGCGATTGATTCCATCGTCAGCCCAGTTATTTTCATAGCACAGGCATAAGAACATCAAACGCCATGACCTCCATTATTCCCCCTCTTTGAAATTGCATTCGCTTTATTCGCCTCTCTAGCTCTCCAATACCTTGAATCATTTCTCCAGGGAGGTGTAACCTGCTGCTTCTCTGCCAGTCCTAAGAGCAATGTAACCAGCAATTCTGGTGCACTGTATGTGGGACACCGGAGCCTGGAGTCAGTGCACAACCTTCGACAGCCACTGCACTCGTTTGCGACAAGACAAATTTGAGACAGCAAGTCCCAAAATAAGGTGGATCGCTTTCATATTTCTTCAAAAGAAATTGGTCAGTCCAACACAGTGGTCACAAGCCTGTGGTTTGAGCTCTACTAAATATCCATCCTCTTTCAACTAGATCCCAAAAGAGTTAAATAATTTCAGACAATTCATGCCTACTATCTTTGTAAGTGCCTTTAAAAGGATTCATACCCCAGGACATTTTCCACATTATGTCACAATGCAACTACAAACATGAATATAGTGTATTAGCATGTTATAAGGAAGTAATTGGTGCGCTGTGTACTGGATGCAGCTCTGACAGCAACCCCCCCCACCCGACCCAGAAAGGGATTAAGGGGAAGAAAATGGATTGATGGATGGAGGAAGTAATACATATTTTTAAAAAACATAAAAACTGAAAAGTTGGGCTTGCAAAAGTTGTCAGCCCCTGTCTTTTCTGAATGCTCTGAAAAGTTTAAAGCATGGTTAGGTTAATACAAAGAGCTGACTGAGCATAGTACAATCCATCATCGAGGAATGGAAAGAGTATTGCACAAGCAAGACACGGTCATTCAGCTCAAACTACCAGGCCAAACAGAAAGCACTGATCAGAGATGTGGTCAAGAGGCCCATGGTTACTGTGCAGCAGGGACAGGGAAGAGTGGTTAAGTTGATGGGAATATTGATGGAGCATAACACAAGACAATCTTGGAACTTGCAACTGGGGTGAAGGCGAATCTTCCATGAGGATAGTTTATCTGAACATAAAGGTTTAAAACAAAAAATATGCATGTGTTAGAAGGGCCATAGTCCAGACCTAAATCCATTTGGGAAACTGTGGCCATATATTCATTTCAAATAAACTATCTCCCTCGCAAACTTGCTCGGGCTGGTTTGCGAGGGATTACAAAAAAAAGTATGACAAATATGGTAGAGACATGAAAGCCTAGCAAAAGACAAGGAGGGCTGAATACTTTTGCTCACTACAATTTAAATCTATTTTTTGTGTGTTTTATTTTGTCATCATGTATCATTTAGCTTCACAATCGTCATCCATGTTGTGTTAGTGTTTCTGATAATATGCTTCTAGTTTGTGGTTAAAGTGACTATACTATCTTTGCTGTTGTTTTGACAGAAAAAAAAGCATCTTAAGGCGTAACGGTTAAAGACATTACTCATGGACTGTGCATGAAGCTATAGAATTAACACAGGTCTAGAATATAATGAAAAAAAATAAACCTAAAAAATCATGGCACTATTTTTCACCTACATTTTCTCTTTCTAGTTTTAATCTAAAAGCACATCTGCAAACATGCTCAATAGACTGGAAAGCACAAGCCCAATAGTTTCCTACAATATTTATATGAAGCTGTTTTAGAATCTAGTTTAGTGGTGGCAACTGTGGAAAAAAAGAAAAAATGTTGTGCGTGTGAATTGCCTTAAGGTGGAAGGATATTTATTGCTTGGAGTAGCTGCAGCACTGACCACAACCAAAGGAGATACAACTGACCCGTCCTCCAGCGATTGTAACTGAAGACCAATGTCCCATCAGCAAAGAGCCTCCTGGCGATGAAACTGCCCATTGCCCTCGAGAAGGTGAATGGACCAAATGCATGAGTGGTTTCTCTTTGAGGTTTTGACACATAAATTGTCCAACTCTGTGTATCTTTTTGTTGCATTGGAGGAAGAATTGTGTTTGTGACTGTTTGTGAATAATTTCAACTAGGATATAGCACATTTTAAAGCCGGGTATACCTTGTAAAATGTACTAGTCTATAGTTTCTACTACTTAGCTTCATGTTAAAACAAAGCGACTGTGTCATGCCCCTGCTGTAGATCTGCTGCTGACCCTCCGCCCCCGACTATGCATGGGTAGAGTTCTGGATCTGCTCACCTGCCGATGTCTGAAATAATCCTCCATCTTAAGCAGTGGTCAGCTGCCATTCAGACGCCAGATTGTTACAGTATTGATGGTACATACAGTTTGCCTTTCAGGATTTTAGATCTAATTTTTAAGAGTACATACCTTCCTGTTTTTTCTTGGGTTTTTTTCATCTGCATTTTCTCTTCAGCTCTGATCCGGACCCTGCCTGCCTACCCCACACCATCCAGACTGAAATAAATCCTCTGTAAGTTCTGTCTCGAGTCGCTTCGGGGTCCACTTCCATTGTGCCACGACTAGGGCTGGGATAAACAATTATTTTTTAAACGATTAATCTAGCAATTATTTTTTCGATGCATCGATTAATCTAATGATTAATTTTTTTGATTCGATTTTCTCCCCATTAATTGACATTTATTACATATCTGAATGAAAAAACATGAATTCCTAAACAAAGTATATTCATTGCTCTTAAAATTCAGCATAAAACCTTGAAGCCTTGAAAACACATCTGGCTTACTGAAAAAAGTGAATCTTATTATTCTTCTTTCAGATAAACTTGATGTTTAGCATTCAATAAAATAAAATATAAAGTTCATCCAAAATCCTTGTTTAGAGCAACTGAAAGAATGCAGTAACCAATGTAAGCTTGAGGGCTTTAAGCTAAAGAGAGAGTGTTTTTCTTGCAAAAAATAATGAAATTAAACATTTAGAATCCAACGGTTATGTTGAACATAACCGTTGCTATAGCTTACTGAAAAAAATCATCCTCATTCACAAATAACAACTTAGACTTGGACACTTTCCTTTCCCCCTGAAGAATACTGTCTGTCTTTTTGTGTGTGTTTGTGAACATATGCCTCCGGCCCGAGTTGTCATTGTCCAGTGACTTCTGGTCTGAACACCCCAATTCTCTGTATTTTAGAGAATGTGCGTCTACTGCGCGTGGAAACTGCATTCCAGCATTGGCGGTCTGAACTCCCCATAAAACGGCACTCACGTACTACTACTACTACTCGCTGCCATCTTTGTTTTGAGTATGACGAATTGACGCGCATCGATTACGTCAATGAGTTCTCCCAGCCCTAGCCACGACATACTGTAGTTACCATATTCCGGCTGCAAAGCTGGCAGCCATCTTCCGAAAATTCAGAACAGTCTTCATAAAGTTCTAAAGATTAACAAAAATGGCTCGCAGCTCTGTTGCAGAAACATGTTCACAAGGGTCAACATCTCAACAGTAGTTGTCTTTCAATAAGAACCTAAGCACAAAAACGTCAAAAGTGGATAAAAAGTCTTGAACTTTTTATACCCTATAGCTCTGAAAAAAAGAGATTGGTTCTTTCACTAGTTTTCACACACATTCATTTATTGATCTCTGTCACATACTTGCTCAGACTGAAAATTAAACATTGAGGACCACTCTTGTTCAACCGATCAGCTCTCGGTCCAAAGCTCTTTCTTAGAAGATGGCAAAAGATAGCATGATAACAAAAGATAGATGAAGGCAACACAGGTGGTCTGATTTGTTCAAAACTAAGACTCTTAACATTGGATCAAAACATAGAAAGCGTTACTGTATGAACAACTCATTAAGAACATTCTTCCGAGGGTATTTTGTGACAAATTACCTAGGTATGGCGCTGGCTCAATCCCAAAGGTTACTCTGACACACCACCAATGACCAATGGAGATCGCCTGTCTCACCAAAACCAGAAAATGTTGTGTCTTGGTCAATTAAACTAAAATGAAAGGGTCATAACTGTAGAATATCTAGTAATTATAGCTCCAAAAACCAACGTTAAGAAGGGTTCAAAGTCATGGTGTCACAAAATCTGCATACTGCATTACTGGACAAATTTGCTTGCACTAATTATGTTCGGTTTCAGGCACCTTCCATGTCCATTGACCTGAATCTCTTCGACCTGCCGTCTGGGTCAAGAGCGATTTGGCCAGTTTGAAAGATTAGGGAACATTGCTTTTGATACTCCAGTTATAATCTCTAAAGTCAAATGATCCAAGGCGCTGTAGCAGGAGTCTTCTTGCATCCCAGCCTGCACCACACACAGACTCTGGACCTGTTGCTGCTCCAGTGTTGGCAGTAAATCCATAATGCTTGCAGGGATCCCGCCGCTGCTCCCAGAAACTTCACTCAAATATTTCGACTATACAATCTCCTCCTCCAGCGCTCTTTATTCCGTCTTTTTGGACAAACGGCCTGTCTCTTTTGTATGCTCACTGTTTACTGTGTTTGTGGCATTCTAATCCACTGTGGAGCGTCTGTGGGATATGTAGGATGGACCAGTGCAAAACCCTCCCCCCTGGGAGGGTTTAGAAAATCTTTGTTTTGCTGTTGAGCTTTCCATCGCGTGGTCCAGTGTGTGTTTGTTTGTGTGTGCCGATCCCGATGGAGGATTCCTTTCCCCTGAACATTTACCCCCTGATCTGGGTTGAAGCTCACGCAAAGACTCATGAATAAAACCACCTGCTGTACAGTTGAGCCATTCATTTGTATTTTATTTTAATTTTGATTTGATTTATCATTTGCTAAAGCTCAACAGATATGACTGTTGCTGTGATCTGGGGCTGTACAACAATAGCAAGGCATGGCAAGTTTTATTGTATAGCACAGTTAAAATCTGGAACAGTCTTCCTGAAGATGTGAGACAGGCCTCCTCTCTGACAATGTTTAAAACCAGGTTAAAGACGGTTCTGTTTAGCTGTGCATACAACTGAGGGATTTTGTATTTTTATCTTTTTTTTTTTTAATGTACTGTGATTATTTATGATTTTAATGCTTTCTTGTTCTGTTCAGCACTTTGAATTGCCTTGTGTATGAATTGTGCTATACAAATAAACTTGCCTTGCCTTGCCACAGTTCATACACAAGGCAACTCAAAGTGCCTAAAAAACAAGAACATAAACATCAAAATCATGCGAACTCACAGTAAATGAAATTGGGATGATACAATCCTTCAGTTGTATGCTCAGCTAAACACACGTGATTTTAACCTGGATTTGAATTTTTTTTCTTTAAATCAGAATGATAGAAGTAGAGAAAGGGGGAGATGTATGGAAACTTGAGCGCTATCCTCTACTTTCTCACTTTATCTGTCATCAATATGATTTCAGCTCTATCTGTTCATTGCTATTCATCCTCTGTCCCATTGTCTGATTGGATTCCTGAGCCTGCCCTCTTTGACCTCCACCTGTGGACTGTCTCTCCCGGCCTGGACCCATGAGCCCCCTCCCCTCCCGAGAGCCTCATCAGTCCTGCACCACACAGCCTCAGTACTGGTTCTACAGCCCGAGTCCTGGATGTCCTGGAAATGTGTCAAAATTATACATATAATTTAGTAGATGAACTGCTGTAACATTGATTTTTCTAAAGAACCAACCTGGTAACACGTCTGCAAAAATGTATCAGTTATTAATGAAAATCATCATGAGTTTATCAGTGAACACAAAATCATAATAATGATTATCATGAACTCATCATTATTGATGAATGACAATTCATGAATAACCAGAACTCATGATGAACTATAATCTTTCTTCTTTATTCATTGATTACTCCAAACCAATTTACACATTATTTATTCAACTCATCATGGCTCATCATTACTTATATCGTATTTTGTCCATGATGAGTCATTATCAATTTGTGTTCCTATTGAAATGAATGAGCAGACCCAGAGCTTCTGGGAAGATAACTCTGGAAAATACGTCATATCTCTTGCTGTTAACTGCTATTGTGACAGGATCCACAAAAGTGTGTATTGAACAAAGCCCTATCTGAACAAGTTTGCATAATTCATTAGAAATAATTGTATATATCACAGATATTTTAAGTGAGTTCAGTTTTAATTAGAGAGGAAGAGATATTTAGACGATTCCAATGAATGTGAGTCATGTAGCCAAGAAACAGCGTAGTGAACAAAACCCTTGAAACAGCTCCAATGCAGTTTGTTCAGTCGCTATGAGCTTTCATGTAAAACAGTGCAACCTTGAATTGATACAAACCCTGTCGTAACACTGGCAACATAAAGGAACGGAAAGATTTGAGCTTGAATGACGGAGAGAACATGTGAGTGTCATATGCGGCATTGTGCCCTGCGGGCCCACAAAGCCTTCCACTATAGGAGACACTCACTGCATAAACAACTGTTTAACATAACAATATCAATATGCATAAGAAGATCCCTGGCACTAATGGGGTAAAGTGCTCTTGGTCTAATTGTCCACACCCTCTCGATAAATCAAAGTGGCTCATTTGTAAAGAGCGGATCAACACATCACAATCATGTATCAAAAAAAGGAAAAACATATACAATAGCCTTTTGACACTTACGCATATTTAGAAAACGGCTCCTGGTTTGATAATGTGTGTTCCTCACTGTTTGAAAACACAACTTTCTGATATATGTTTTCTATGACCCACTTTTACAGAGGTTATTTGAAGGTTACTAAGACTATATGAGACTAAACGCTTCTAAATTAATCATATTTCCAAATAAAGACATGATAAATAAAAACATTGCTTGATTGATGCTTGATGAAGTCAATACGTTCCTTGCCACTATTCTAATGTTGCCTTACTTAACATTTTGTCCACATGCTGCGTACTTCTAACCCTGAAAGCACCCACTTCCAGCCATTAAATTCACACACAAAATATATAAAACACGGAAAAACATGGCTATTGGAAACTTAACAATCTTTATAAAACTGCTCCCGGTTTGAAAATGTGTGTACCTCATTGTTTGAAGTCGTGACCTTTCTGAAAAACGCAAGAAATTATAACTTATGAGAAACCCAGATCAAGCCTGTCTTATTATCCGAACAACTGTTTCCTCATAGGATTTCACAGACTGCATGGCATTAAAACCACAAAAATACAAACAAAAGAAATGGCAAAAGGTTAGTTGTGTTAGGAAAATGGAGCACTCCGTAATATCCCTCAGTCCTGAAGAATTGCGGCTGTAATTGACAGCAAACAATACAATATTCTGTGTCTCTTCATCCTCAATGCTGCGGCTCTTTGTAGACTCAGAACCTCATTTTAATCCCACATCATTTTTCTACGACCCTTTTTTACAGAGGTTATTTGAATGTTACCAAGACTTTAGGAAATAACTATTTTAAAATCTTTATTCACAATATTCCAACAATAGTCAGGCTTGAAATAACAAGCTATTCAATCTTACAATCAATGTAAGAAATACAACGGAGGAGAGACTGTGGTTGCAATTTTTGTATTTTTTAGTAATAGTAATAGTTTTTGCATACCATATTTTTAATTTTAGTCAACGTGGAAAAACAACATTTAAAAATACAAGAGCTGCAGTACATAATTATCGTGGTCAACCAACCTGTAATTATTTCTTGTAGTTAATAAAGTATGATTAAATGCCTTTTTTAACTGGGGAAATGTGACGGCTGGATGCTTCAAAATGAATTCGATTTCCATTGCTTGAATTCTAAGAAGTTGCCGCATACATTCCTTGCTTTTCACTATTCTGATGTTTCCTTACTTAACATTTTGTCCACATGCTGCGTACTTCTAGCCCTGAAAGCACCCACTTGGAGCCATTAAATTCACAAAAATTAGCATTAACGGCCACAGTGTATTAGTCCATATCTGTATGCATTAGGTTCACAGTCCATATAGGGATAATGCATGGTTTTGCCTTCAACTGACCGATTCTGTAGAGATGTATGTCCAAGCTTTTCATAATGCTGCAGTGCGATTGTGCCCCTGGGACGACTCTATTAGGGATATGTCAAGACAAAAACAATACAAGTGATTTTATTTTTAAAAAGAGTATTTTTTTCTAGATTATAGATGTAGTTGAAGTAATTAGTGCATCATTGTCCTAACATATTTTTTATAGTTTAATAAAAAGTTCTAGCTTTCCTTTTTCAGGAGCCAATTTTTGTTCAGGTCTATCTTAATGTTGTGTCAAGGCCATATGATCTGAGACAGTTTCCATGTAGTACTTCCTGTCTTCTAGATAAGACACTCACAGTCCTCCAGTCTCTGTGAGGATCTCATGATCGACAGCGTCAAAAGCCATCTTTCCAACAGTCCCCAGCTGCACCAGCAACCAGCAAGTTGTAAGAACCATAATTAGTGATGGAAAAATGAAACAAAAACTTGTGTCGCTCTTTTTGAAGCTAAGTTCTTCGAAGCAGTGTGCTGCAGTCACAACAGCCAATCACGTGACCAGAGCATCCAAGTATCGCTCTGTGCCACTGCTGATTCACTTGGTATCGAAGCTTGTGCTCAGCTCTCTGAGCCGCTCCCTTCTTCCTCTGCTGTCTCACCTATCTCCCCTCCCTCTGCTGTCTCACCTCTGTCTCCCCCTCCCCCTGCTGTCTCATCTCTGTCTCCCCTCCCCCTGCTGTCTCACCTCTGTCTCCCCCTCCCCCTGCTGTCTCATCTCTGTCTCCCCTCCCCCTGCTGTCTCACCTCTGTCTCCCCCTCCCCCTGCTGTCTCACCTCTGTCTCCCCCACCCTCTGCTGTCTCACCTCTGTCTCCCCCACCCTCTGCTGTCTCACCTCTGTCTCCCCCTCCCTCTGCTGTCTCACCTCTGTCTCCCCCTCCCTCTGTTGTCTCACCCCTGTCTGTTCCTGAGACTTATTGTTAAAACTGGTTTCTCACCATTCATGAGTGAAAGAGAAGTCTTTCTGAAGCACTTGAACATTACATGGGTTTCCTCATCACATTACGGGAACATGAATGGAATATGGATTTATATTTGCACAAACGTGTCGAGGCAAACATAGGGATACTGGTGCTATCAATGTGAAATATAAAGTGTTATGATCCTGACCCTCTGTTCCGGACACAGAAGAAGCACAATAATTCTATATACATATAAATTGTATAGAAATGATTTTGTAAATACTGTATTCCACTCAAATGGTTTAACTTGCAGCGTTTTGTTTTTGATACAAAAGTGTTTCATTTGTCAAAATGTCTAGTTGTTTAAGAGGCAGTAATGATAAGATTTGTCCACCAGATGTCAGTGTTAGTGGTGAGACTGATACAGTGTTGAAGCTTCGAAACAGTTGAAATATAATTGCATGAAAATCCTTAATGCGTCACAAGCCTCCGTTATTCCATCACTAAAAACGGGTAGTATGCGTCTTGTATGTTATCAAAACAGACTTTTTACAGAATTTTACCAGAATCTGGAGAAAAACAATGAAGTCCTGTTAAGACCTGTCGCTGTTGTACAAATATTGTGTAAAGCGGACATTCCTTACCTTACAGTGATGCAAACAGACAGATAAAAGCATTTTGAGAACAATAGATTGATTAGAAATGAGTTGATTTAATGGTTGCATCCATAACCGTTTATCACGGTGATAGAGAAAGAAGCCCTTCTCGAGTGGCTAAAACAATCCGTGGAACGCTCTCTAAAAGACAAGCACGTACAAAGTTAAATCAGAGACATGACGTCCTGTGATGCTGAAGAACACTTTCACAAAGATTATACATTTGAAAAATACCTTCTATGTGAAATACAAACAGGCCATAACTTCAGGAATAAAAACACTAGGATTCCAAAAGTCAGACGGAGATATGGATTTGGAAAGAGAATCTGTCATCCGTGCTACACTCATTCTATTGCAGGTTTAAAGCAAGTGTCTCTCTCGAATGTACAAAAAAAAGAGGAAATAAAATGAAGGTTAAAATGTATCCCAACATTTTATGGGAACACTCTTTAAAATAAATGTTTGTTATATTGCTCCAAGGCAGGCAAGTCCAATCTCAGGCCCGCGGGCCAACTGCAGCCCTCTGCCATGTTATGTGGCCCTCTGCGGCATCCAACCGACTTCACGCTATATCTTGTTGTAAATCGCAGACCCTCTGGAATCCAGTCGTTGACTTTAGTAAGTAAGTAAGTAAGTAATGTTTATTTATATACCGCCTTTCACAGACAAGGGTCACAAAGCGGTTTACAGTTGTTATTATTTTTTTGGGCATTTGTCCTCTCACTCCAAACAGAGATGGGAGCGGGGTCGCCAAACAGGAGGCGCATGCCAGATCTATTGTACATATTTTTTGTGGTAGGGGAAACCGGAGTACCCGGAGGAAACCTACGCAGACACAGGGAGAACATGCAAACTCCACTCAGAAAGGCCCTGGTCCAGAAAGGACCTTCTTGCTGAGAGGCAAGAGTGCTATCCACTCAGCCACCGTGCCGCCAGTGTTACAACATTCCAAATAAAATGCAGCTGTGGTCTGAATCAATAAGGACGTATCATAACCCATTTAAATTCCAGAATCCAGTCAATCCAGCCCGAATCCGTTTTTTAAAAATCCAAGTTACTGTATCGGCTCCAGGTCAAATCTGAAGAACTAAAGTGGCCCTATCACTAAAAAGTTTGGACACCCCTGCTCTAAGGTGAACAAAATGAATGAATTTGAAAACTTGGTGCTTCTTTGAAAGATGTCCTTGCTTTAGTTTTACACTGAAAAAAACATGTATTAGCTTTGTTGTTTAAGTTTGTAAGTGTACTGTACACAGTGGGGAAATTGTCAAAGTTGCAGCACAAGATACAGTACATGAGGATTAGAAGATGCACTCACAAGATAAACAACAACATGCTCTCGGAGACCGCATACCCACGCCAACACCACAGATTATCTTGACATTTTAGTAAAAAACTATCATTCTAACGTCTATAAAGACACTTGTAGGTCTGAATTTCCTTTGGCAATCCAATCCCATCTCTGCACTTAACTGGGTGACCATCACGCTCCAGTCTGCCTTATCTTACACCTTTTCTCTGTACTTTTACTCCATAAACCTCGACCTCCGCTTGCGTTTTCCATTGTCGCTTTGATATGAATAATGTTTCAGTCTGTTGGACCACCATTTTTCACCCACGTCTGATTTTATCCTTCTGTGGCACAAGGCTATACATCTGTAATTCCAGCCTAAAAACTGCACACAAAAAAATGATGAAGAAACTAGCTTGAAGTAAGTGGTGTTTTTTCTTGATTTGAGTGAATTTTGTTAAAACGATTTTCCAATGAAACAAGCATTATGTCCTGTTTTACCTTGATTGTGACAAAAACAAGCAATTTCTCACTAGAAGGGGAAACATATGGCACAGTGCTTGGGATAAGACTGAAGCTGTTTGTTCCATTGGCAGAATTTGTACTTGTTATTTTGCCATGGCATGTTTTAGAATATGAAATAATTGCTACAAGTTATTTACAAGTACCTGTTCTATCCCTATGCTACCATAGGGCATGGGATTTCTTTTTTTAAATTTTTCTTCAAATTTGAAAATTGACACCCGCGAACTCAGAAATGGGATGAAGAACGTATTTTCACATCAGAAATTACCAAAAGAAATTCATGGGCAATATCTTTGTTGTAAAAGTCAGAAAACTGGTCCTCTCTCCTTACCCTAGAGTAGCTTAAGTTGACTTTCGCTCAACAAAATTGAATTCGATCTACAAATGGATGTGTGGACTCTTTATGGACCAAAGAATGATCTATTTGTTTGTCTGTCCATGGAGCACTGAAAATGACTTGATAAGTTTGATTTGAAAAGCTTATAGTCCCTCTCAGGTTGTGCAGAGCAGGGAGGAAGCAGTATCTTTCAAACACCGTCTGGCTGCTCATTCTGAAGAGGGCAAAGACCAAGAGGGCGTGGCCTCAGTGGCAAACAGATAAAGCTGAAACATATTACTTCTTGGATCTTCAAATTGTACCTCCAGACGGTGATCTGGATAACCTCCCAAATGTAATCACCTGATCATTGAGTCATCACAGATATTTAGAGGAATATTCACGTGAAATCCTTCCAAAGCGTTTTTAGTAATGGCGCTAACAAAACAAAAAAATTACAACCCCCAGCCTGTTTTTTATTTTCTTCACTGAAATTCAGTTTGTGATAGTAAATAATCTTTATTTATATACCGTCTTTCACAGACCGGAGTCACAAAGCGGTTTACAATTGTTATTTTTGGGCATTTGTCTCTCACTCCACACAGATGGGCGTGAAGTCGCCAGTACAGGAGGCACATGCCAGACCTATTGTACATGCTTTTAGTGGTAGGGGAAACCAGAGCACCCAGAGAAAACCTACACAGACACGGGGAGAACATGCAAACTCCACTCAGAAAGACCCTGTTCCGACCAGGATTCGATCCCAGAACCTTCTCGCTGAGAGGCGAGAGTGCTATCCACAGTGATGCTTCAGTTGGATGGAAGAAAAAACGTAATTCATTGCAAAACATCTATAAGATTATTTTGATTTCACTTTTAATGTTTTAACATAAAAGAAACACACAAAATAATACAGCACTTGATTTAAGGAAGACATTTCGTATTCCTTTGGCAAAATACAAACACTTGGCTACTGCTCACATCTGATTTTTCTGACCTGTTTATAATGCATTTTTAAAAACTTGTCTACACTACAGGGCCAGCAATCAAAATAATAAAACACAATAATTTTTTGAGGTTTGTAATTGTAACTTGGTAAATTGCGCTCCCATTACAACATAACTTACAGCCCTAATATGAACATAAGACAGGGAAAGGTAGTGTGCAAATACAACAAATCTTGATTACTCACATTTTTCATAAGCCTTGAAGATGTTTACTTCTTCCAGAGATATTGTGCACCGGGGCTTTCCTTCCAATCCATTTAGCGTTGATCAAATGCTGCCCTTTTTTGTACAAGTTCAAGTTTGCCGGGAAGTTTTATAGCTATTGCAACAAATAGCTTGCACATGTTCAAAGCAGCTACGCAATTCAATGGCAAACAACTACTAACAAGATCGGACACGGGGTCATTACCAAGATGAATAATCAATGCATTTCCAGCTGAGCCTTTCTACCTACTGTTGCAATACTGGCTCCAGCAAAGGCCTTTTATAATTACATTACTAATGCTCCCAGTCCGGGCTAATGTGCAGGGGAGTTTACGTTTGCTGAAATATTTGAAATGCATTTTGTGTTGCAATATTCTCCGCGGCCAACGCTAATAGTTTACAGTAATGGATGCTGATTTAGTGTTATAACGCGGTCGATTTAAAGATCCATTTAATCAAGGGGGCAGTAATGAGCCGAGCTGTAAAACACTATGACAAAGCGCGCAGACTTACAATGAGAATCATAGACTGTGGAGGTACGGAGATTTCAGCCAGATTAAACAAATGTTTGCTTTTCATGTTATTTATCAGTGCTGAATGTGGACTCAATAAATCTGTAAGGCCAGTTCAATCTGAAGAGACCAAGACAGGAACATTAATGCATGAAAAAGATGTATTTGTTTGGCGCATTGACCCCGGCAGTGACGCTTGCAGAGGGGAGATTATCTGCTGCTGTAGATGATCTCAGATCCCCTGGGGTCAAGCACTGGTGGTGGCTAGAAGCATGGCGTGAATGGGGCGTAGGTGGAGCAGGAGCCAGAGCAGGACCCAGAGCAGGAACACGATCAGGAGCCAGAGCAGGAACCACAGCAGGAACAAGGAGCTTGAGGAGGTGCTGGGGATGTGGTGGGTGTTAAGAGCCTCAGGAAGCGCTGTTTATTAGGAAGTGGCTGCTTTTAAACTGCCCGCTTTGCTGTCAGTGGGTTGGCAAGAGGCTGGCAGAGCTGTGTGATTGGCAGAGGC